CCAACAATTCAAAGAACAATCTATAATAAATTTTACAAGCTCATAAAATCCTGACTCATCCGTGATTTTGAATGCGAATTGTGATGAAATGAGAATGAATCCTTTAACCAAATTTATAAAATGCATTCGTAGCTTTTGTGATATTCAAATAATAGATATCATTGTGATAAGTGAAATTGCTGAATCAAACATATATGTGCTTCGAGAGGCTGGAGCTACGTTATTAGTGACTCATAGAGAGAGTATGAAGAAATCTTTTATTTTTCTTATGGATCATTTAGTAAGCAAGGGAAATAATTAGAATTAATGGATTCTTGCTCATATTAACATTGATCATAACATCATTTCTTTTTTTCTTGTGACCTCAGTATAAATATTATAGTAGACCAGGAAAAGGAATAATAAAATTTTATAATAGAGATGAACCTTATTATGAATTTACTAATTTTTATAGTCCAAAAAACAACATATTAATAGAAGGTGTATATTGGCAAACTACTGAACATTATTGTAAGTAATTTATTGGATGATTTCATATCTCTATCAAAACTTTACTAACAATAAATTGGTTGATAGTTCAAGCGGCTAAATTTAAAGATCCATTAATTCGTCTAAAAATTCAATATGCAAAATCAGCAAGAGAAGCATTTACAATTGCTAGATCACATGATCTAGAGAAAAGAGTAGATTGGGAATTGGTATTGACAGAAGAAAGAACAATATTCAAAGAGTTAATTATGAAAAATGCATTAAAGAGTAAATTTAAACAATTTCCCAACTTACAATTTAAATTACTTTCTACGTGTGATGCTGAAATAATAGAACATACACAAAATGATAGATACTGGGGAGATGGTGGGAATGGCGAAGGGTTGAATAGATTAGGTCAACTATTAAAAGAAGTCAGGACGGAGATTTTTCAAACTGAGCGTAACAGATTAATTCTTGAAAATGGATTAGGAGGAGGCCGGTATCAAGGCCAAAGATGGATTATACATCATCTACAATGTTTAAACCATTTGAGCTTTGATGGTAATAATAGTGACTATAATCTATAAGTTGTTTTATTGCTATTGATTAATATATAAATGTTGAATTGTGCTATTTTCGGAGTAAAATTGATATATGCAATTGAAAATCTTCAACAACTCGATTTGGATAATAAAATTTGGAAGAAACTTTAATTGTATATAATTAACAGTCGGCCAATTGAATTCAATTGAATAAAAAATAAATATTTAAAAATGTATGTGTCATATGTAATTCATGTAGTTTTCAAAAAGTTGAAGTTTCTATAATGAAAAATTATCAATACAACAATATTGTTATATTCCACCGATTCCTTTTCCGATTTTCTCTATATTCATTATTATTATATCATTACCATATCGCCACATAAATTCCCACATTCTTGTAATGTAAAAAAACAGATACAACCAATCAAATTGATTAATTGATCTAATTGAACGAACTCAAACATTGTTGGACACGAATGTAAAGAATAAATTTTTCTTGAATATTCAAGAAGAAAATAAAAGCACAACATCCGTAATAAATATCATATTAGTATTATAATATATATTTACATATTTATATTAATTATTGTTGACGTATCACTTGCGAGTGATAAATACATTAATAAATAAGTAAAATTTTTACTTAAAAAATAAGGGAGGATTCAAAAATTCGTACATATTTTAAATATATAAATATAAATAAAATATGAATATGGAGGACGAATTGTCTAGATCTTTCTTTGATTCTAAACAATCATCAGACTCAGAAATTATTCAAGAAGTCAGCAAATCATTGTCAGCTTCTTTATTCACCGAGCCTTTAAACATTAACATCGGAAATCCTTGGGATCCCCCCTCTTCAATAAATGGAATTGATGTTTCCAATATTTTATGTAAGTTTTATAATTCTTTTTTTTTTCAAAAGAATATATATTTAATAATTGCAATCACAATCATAATGATAATGTTGATAATGTTATTACCTCATTATTAGCCAATGTTTCTTTGCCTGAAATATATGCAACAGCATTTGCACTTACTTCTACAAATGGTGGGTCGGTTTCTGTTTCAGCATTAAACAAAGTTTTAAGCATTAGTGGTTTACCTCATGCGACAGTTGAAAAGGTAATTTATTCGTTATTTTACTTGAAATGGTTATTGGATAATAATAATAATTGATTATAATTATTATTAGATTATGAATTTAGCAGCACCTGTTAATAGTACTCGCCTCAACAGAGGAGAATTCAATGTGGCACTTGCACTTGTAGCTTTAGCACAAAAAAATATGGGTAAACAAAATTTGTGATCAATCTTTGGATAATTTAAAAATTTTGATAAGAATAATGTTATTTATAATATATTAAATATACTATTATTATTTTAAAAAAATTTTTTTTTTTAGACGTTTCAATTGATAACCTGATTGAGAGAAAACATGGTAAGAATCAACCTTCAATTTTATTTTATTTTAATTTTTAGCAAAAAGAAAAAATAATTCTTTATTAAATTTGATTTAGATCTTCCTGAACCAATTCTTACAAATATGGAAAGTATCAACTTTAATCGCAATCTAAGTTTCTCCACTATCACATCTCGTCCATCATCAATTCCAGTTCTTCAGGATGATGATCCTTGGGCTATTTCATCAGCAACAAATGGTATTGACATTATAACATCATCACCATCAACGTCTGCTGCAATAGGAATATCAGGAGAAACTATGACATCAACTTTTTCACCAATCATATCAAATACAATAATATCACGATTTCCAAGTGATAGCAACGGTGCAAGTACTATTTTACCAAATATTAATAGGACTTTGATACTAGATGATCGTGAGTCTCATTGGTTTCTAGATGCAGGTATCATTAAAGTGAAATTTGCTCCTGAACATGAAGGTTTTCTATTCAAACATGTTAATTACATTGTTGAATCACAGGTAAATGATCAATATATTTGAGAAGAAAAGATGAATAAAATATAAATATTTATTTAAATATATAAATATAATTATGATACATACATAGAGACAAGAAAGTAAAGTTATAAGAAGATATAGTGACTTTTGGTGGCTGATGGAATGTTTAGTGAAAAGATATCCATTCAGAATTTTACCTGCTTTGCCACCCAAAAAAATAGGAGGTAATATGATTTGTGTATACATTATTTGAATATAGTATAAATGCTTATATATCAACAAAAATATCATTTGGTCTTTTCTATTTATTATCAGTTAATGGATTTTATTTCACATATGATGAAACATTTTTGGAGAAACGGCGAAAAGGTTTAGCAAGATTTTTGAATTTTATTGCAAGGCATCCAGTTTTAAAGAGTGATGATTTGGTGGAAATGTTTTTAACCGAACAAACTGTAAATATAGATTGATTTTTACCAAAAAAAAAAAAAAAAAATCAATACGTATTATACATTTATTCATACTTTTCATGCTTTTATGATTGTGATTTTACAGGAAATAGCAATATGGCGTAGGAATAATACACCAGATTTGGATGAAGAGTTTTTAAAAAAAGAAATTTCATCACAAATGGAACAACGCATACCTAAAGATTTGAATGCAAGATTAGAAATTGTATATAATAATTTGGATCGATCTATCGAACATTACGCAAATATGTGTAATTTCATGGAACGTATTGCTCATCGTCAGGAAGGCACAGCGTCTGATTATACACGTTATAGTTTGGCTTTAAATTCGTTGATTGAAAACGGGAAAGATTGTTATACGGAAAATTGTTATAATTGTTCACAGATGATGAATGGTTTAGAACAAATATCAAGTCATTTTCAACATGCAAGTACCATAATGGAAGATGCTGTAAGTAAATAATGACTAGTATTTTAATTAGCATTTAATATTTATGATTATTTTACATTATTATTATAATCAGTATTACAAAGTCATTAATGATTATTTATTTATTTATCAATTAATTAATTAGGCTACATCTATTCTTGATACTGTTCTTGAGGATTTGAAGAGACACCGAGATTTACTTGTATCATTCAAGGTGTGTAGTGTTAATAAATAAGCGAATAAATAAATATATTGGTTAATTGTTAGATTGGTGTTATATTAATAATGATTTCTACTATATAATACCTATTACATTAATATTTATAAGGATACGTTTGAGAGAAGAGATAGATTAACAATTGACACTGTTGAAACTCTTAATAGTAGGATAGCAATAAATCAAGCAAAACTTAGACCATTATCAGGCAAAGAATCATCAGACCCAGAGGTGGAGAAATTAGCATCTGCGATCCAAAAGGTAATGTATATATTATATGTGTGTGCATAACATCTCCATATTTCCATTAATATTATATATTATACATTATAAATTTTATTTTAACGAGCTATTAATATAAAATATCTCATCATCCCATATCCTCATCATCTAATATCTAATATCTCCCGCACTTCACATTTTAGGATGAAGATGATATTAAAATTCAACTTGGAAAACAAATTTTTGTACGATATTGTATGTATTCAGAACTTAATCTGTTTCATGAAAGCTCAGCCTTCATCTCACTTCTATATCAAAAATTTATAAATGAACAAATGAAATACACTCAACAACTTTATAAAAATTGGGATGTATTAAATCCCAAAGTTCGTGAGATGCCAATTGAAACAAACGGATTTGGTTAATTTGGTACATTTTTGTGTGATTGATATAGGTGTATATGAGTGTTTACATATTTGTTATTTATAAAATTTTTGTTTTATATTTATTTTGAAAATGAATTCTTGGATTTTTGATACAAATTCATAAAGCATATGATAATAAAACACTAGTTATATTGTATATTTATTTTATAACAGACATTTTTTATTTTAATTAATTTGTCCAAATATATCAGTCCAAACATATCAAGTAGAACTTTGATATTACCACCTTTCAACCAAACTAACCAATGATATTTATTTATTTTACATACCAGAGATAATAGTAATACTTATTTAATAATCAATAATGATCTTCTATTTTTTAATCATTCATAAAAAAATTAATTAGGTTAATTACTAAAACTAAAATAATCTACAATAATTTGTTCAATTCTTAAATCTACTTGTTCATAAATATATTTGAACTCTTGTTATCTAATAATCAAAACATTATAAGATTTTTATTTTAAATGTACTGTATACAGTCGAACCTCGTTTCAACGAAGTGGCTGGACATATAGGATTAAATAAAATTCCAAAGTGAAATTTGGATTATTATTATTATATTATTTACGTTATTTATACTCTTACATTTTGTATTGTTTCAATTGAGAGTTTGTTTAGTTTAATATAGTCTGATTGATCTTTATAGATTTTATTCTCTCATGATAAATGTTTAATAGTGAATATCATACTCTTTCTTCATGAAATACTAGTATAGTAGCAGTGATGATAAATATAAGCTATCCAAAACTAGAGAGTTTTGCAACTGTGCGAAAGTCAAAATGTTTCGCCACATTCGAACTTTTGACTTTTAATATATAACTTTTAATTTTAGTTTTGATTTCCGCTTCTTCAAGATAGTTTTGGCGACCAACACTATTATTGATTACATCTCGAAAAATGATTAATATAACATTCCTTTATCATAATTATGTTTAGTTATCAATCCTTAGCATTTTTCCGTTTTTTAAAAAGTCACATTAACAAAGAAGAATTTTTTGATGCGCATTCCATATCTCATCGAATTCTTTTTAAAACATCCATTCATTTATTACGATACTGCATAGCTCGACTCTATATTATAAAGTCGCCTCTTCATAAAAATAAATGATAATTCCACTTAAATTCTCAATATTAATATCAATTTTTGTAAATAAATTAAAAAAAATGGCGCGCACAAAAACAATTATGCAAAGTAAATAAACAAAACTCAATCAAATATTTTATTAAATAAAAGAAATTAATAATTTTTAAACCAACTCACATTTCTGTATCATAGACATAATAATATTTTTTGACCGTTTCCTGAAGAATTCTTTGACCATAAATCCCTCAATTCGTCAACATCCTTTTTTCAATATTATTTTTTATGATATACCACATATTTTCAATGGGATTAAGGTCAGGACTGTTGGATGGCCAGTCTATGATGCAAATTCTTTTTTCAAAAATGAAGGTTTTTGTAACACGTGATGTGTGCTTTGGATCATTAATCCTGTTTCAAACGCCATGTAATAATAATAATAAACATATTAATATTAATATACACGTTCATTATCATTCAAACAAGATATCCAATCGTTTTTGTCATGTGAAAATTTTTTATTCATTTCTAAAATAAAATTTATGGTAAAAAAAAATTTTTATTTACTAAAAAAAAATCCTTTTCTCTTCAATGTTTTTTCCCTGTTAACATAATCTTGATATTATCTTTGTTTCACTCATTGACTGTCACTCTTTTGAGGCCATTTTTTTTGAAACACACTGTAAATAGAGAAATAATAGATAATGGCTTACTCTAATCCTTGATTTTCTTGCCTTAACTCAGTAACAGCATCTCATTATTCCAATTTTAGCTGTCAAAGCAAAATGTGAGATTCATCTTTATTCACTTTGAAAAACAAAGAACCTTATGCACAACATTCTATAATCATACCATATCTTTGTTAACATTTAATTTGATATTACTAATTAATTAGATATTATATTGATTACTTAGATACTGATGAACAAACAACTATTACTAAATATTATCAAATTTATATTTAATATTAAAAAAAAATTAATCTTATATTTGGAATTTTATTTTTTGTATCAGCTTCATATGACCTTAGCTTATTAGTGATATCATTGTTTTTATTGATGTTATTGTCAATAATATTTAATATTTTCAATATTAATACTATCTTGTTGAGGAATTCGGATCGAATCGAATCGCATTACTCTAAAAATTCGAATCGAATCCGCGATCCAAAAAAAATTTTAGTAAAAATTATTTAATAAAAATAAATGGAATGATCCTAAACCAAGTTTATTTCAAAACCAAAGATTTTGAGCGCGAAGGTGATAAAGATGAAGCTAATAGTAGTAATAGTAGTAGTAGGACTAATTAATATTAATGATTGTAAAATTCGAAAATAGTCAGCCATTTGCATATATTAATATTAATATATAAATTTTTTGAAGATCAATAGAATTTTATCTATCCATTTATTATTTTTTTTTTTCCAATATAATGTCGACAAGAAAACCAGACAGGAAAGGAAAAAAAACTTTAAGATTGGAGAATGCTCTACAGGAGAAAGAGATGGTTGGGCGTCTATAATAAAATCTTTGTTTTTGGTCAAAAAAACCACTATATATATATATATAACTAGGTAGCTGTTATTGATTATAGATCTTTTTTCTTTTCATAAAAATTTTTTTATTTCCCAACCACGCCTACTTTTTTGATCATATGAAAATGCATGCATGATTTTAGGGCAATGGATTCTTTAAACGAGGTAATTACGAATTGGCCATTGAACACTATGGAAAAGCTATAGAGCACGACCCCAAGGAATCAATTTATTTCATTAATCGTGCAATGGCTTATTTAAAATTACAAAAGTAAGTTTTTCCAACAATTTTATTTGCGTTATATTATTAATTAATTGATAAATAAATAAATATATATTAGGTGGGAGAAAGCAGAAAAAGATTGTAATAGCGGATTGATATTGGATAAAAATAATGCAAAAGCTTTTTGGAGAAGAGGAATTGCAAGACGCGAAATGGGAAAATTAGACGAGGCAAAAAAAGGTTAGTTAATTAATTGATTTATTTATTTATTATTATGTGTATAATATATATATTTATGTATTATTATTAGATCTCGAAGAAGCTCTTTTATTACAACCCGCCGATAAAGCCATTACTAGTGAATTAGACAAAGTTTTGGATGCTATAAGAATGGTAATCATATTATATGTATATATTTGAAGATGCAATGCCCATTATATAAAATTTATAATAATGAAACTTTCATTGATAAAATAAAGAGAGAGGAGAAATCAAATCAAAAATTATTATCTGAAAATAACAAATCAAGCGAAAATAATCAAGATACTCCTAATAAAAGAAGATTGTCAATAGAAATAGTTGAATTTGATGAGGATGATGATAAGATTGTTGAATTAGCTGGAAAAAAATCAAAAGAAGAAAAAATTGTAAAAAATGGCGTTGATGTCATTGTTGAAAATAATAACATTAACAACATTAATATTAATAATGTTAATGTTAATAAAGACAATAATAATGATAGCAATAACAATAAAAACTCAACAGCAGCAACAGTAACAACAACTAATATTGTTGATATAAATTCATTAAAAATACCAAAAACTATTTATGAATTTGAGGTTGATTGGAAAAAATATGAACAAAATGATGAGAATTTATATCTTTATTTTAAGGTAATAATATTATATTTAGTAATTATTATATTTTATATGTACCACTTTTTTAATTATTAATTAACTTTTAGATAATGAATATTTAATTAATTTTATTTATTTATTTACATAAGATTATACCACCTTCATCATATCCAAAGATATTCTCAGATTTCTTTGAAATTGGCTATCTTTTAAAAATTATGATTATTTTGAAAAAGTTCTATTTAATGCAAGTATTATTATTATTGTTATTATTATGGTCATCTGTTGTTTATTTATTTGAAAATTAAATCCTTACTCTTAACAAAAAAAAACCAAATTTAGTCGTGATAATGCAAATGATATTTATGAAGTCTTGTATAATTTAAGTCGTGTCTCAAGATTTGAGATGATTTTAATGTTTCTCGAAAACGAGAAAAAACAAGGTGATACATATCTTCTTTTTATGGATATTAATTTGATAGTTATTATATTAATTAATTATTTTTATTTATTATGTAAATAAAGAAATGAAAGAAATGATGAAAGGTCCATTCGATTTACTATTCAAATCAACTAGAGGTTCATCAAATCAACAAAAATTTACAATGGATGATGTATTGAAATTGACAAAAATATATGGTGTTGAATGAACCGAATTGTAACAAAAAAAAAACAAATCAATGATAATGTAATTTATTTAAAGTGTAAAAATAAACCAATTTATTTAACGTAGGAATGAACATATTAATTAACTTACTTTTATCCAACTTGGCTGTTTAACCCAACTTGAAAAACATCACCAATATCTGCAAGGTTACGCCGTACCAGTTACATATAGCCAATTCACTGACAATAATATTTGATCTTTGCTATGTTTGCCCAAAACCTTCCAAATTTGGAACTGATTATAGTATCGATTATTAATTGATAAATAATAATAATTGTAATGCTAAAGAAGTCCAGTATTTTTTTATTGTAGTTAATTTTAGAAAATTGGTTTATTTTTAGGCGAGAACATTTATGTAAAAATTGTAAAATTTTGAATTTCTTATTATGGTGATCATTGGCCAAAACATTTTCATATAATATCGTAATTATTTAACACAAAAATGTGTTTGAGCTTAACCACAATAATATGTTGAAGTCACAAAAGAGTGCGGAAAACACAAAATTGTGGTAAAAGCACTCATAATTGAATTAATTATACATAAAAAGCTTGGATTTGACATGCTTGTAAAGTAACTTTGTAATAAATTAATTTAGGAATAAGTTAATAAAATTAGTTTTAAATAAACTAAACAAAATGTTTTCTTAAATTATTAAAACAAAATTATTCGCTGATAAAACTAATTCATTAGTAATAGCCAATACATTCTGATCACGTAATCATAAATTTATATTGTTATCATCAATTAATACGCTCTCCCAAATAATAATTGGTAACAATATATATAAATTAAGAAGGGAGTTTGACATTGATATCACAGGTCAAAAAATCAGTAATAACTGTCATTTTCATTCAGCTTTATGGATTTAAGCTGAATCATCATTTTTTGACTAATGATAATAATAATAATAAAAAAGTAAATTATTCCAATTGAAACATACATTCAAAAGTCCAATTTGCTATTTCAATAAAATAAAAAAATTGTATATAAAATAATATAAAAAATAATTAAATAAAAATTTCATATGATCGCTTGGTTCATCTAATGTATCTAAATATCTAAATCAATTTGATTAGAATCTATAAATTGATTATAGTGTTAATTAGTGTTGATATTGATATTAACTTTAAAATTAAATCATCAAATATGTAATTGACAATCAATTGATAATAATTACCATTGTTATTACCAATAATTATAACTTTTCTAGAGTTAACAGGTTGTGGAAGATTTGTAAATTCCAATAACCTGCTAGCATAAACAGCATTTGGATGAACAGTTGCTGTAATTGTTGAAGGATCAAATTCAATACCACGCAATTCATCAAATTCTTCTCTAATTGATTTTGCTTCATCAAAAGTATGATTATGTGAAGGCCTATAACTCATTGCATCATCCCAAAATTCAATGATTTTCTTAATTTCAGTAGCAGTTGGTCGTTTATCTGGATCAGCATCCATACATTTATAGGCTAATTCAATATAACATCTTGGAGTATTAATTGAGAACCCAGGTCTTAAACCTTCACAAATCTTGATTGCAAGATCTCTATTATGAAGAACATTATTAAAAGGTTGTTGACCTGTTGAGAGCACTGACATCAATACCCCACAACTGTATATGTCTGAAGCTCTTGTATAAGGTTTACCATTTAAAACCTCTGGAGCTAGATATGATAGTACACCATATATATTATTTTCATTTGATGTTAAAGATTGATCAGTTGGAATTGATAATCCTAAATCTGCAATGTACGGATAAGATCCATCTAGAAGAATATTACCACAATGAAGATCACGATGAATAATATTTTGTTCATGAATATTTTTTAACCCATTGATAATATCTTCAAGAATTTTAATTTTTTTTCTCCATTCTAACTTATTAAATCTATTATTCGTTAACAACCAATTTAGAAGACTTCCATCCTTTATATATTCTATTACAAATATATATTCTTCCGTGCTTGGATCTTGTGTTACTCCATAAATTTTAACAATTTCCAAAGATTTTTATGAAATCTAACATAATTTTTGAACTAATAAAAAAATATAATAAGAATTTAATTAATAATGATTAATTTTCAAAATCAATAAATTTATTTACCTCATTTAAAAAACTCATTAGAAATATTTTGTGAATTATGTAATTTTTTTAACGCAATGATTGTATCTTCACAATATCTTTTATTTTTATATTTTGTATGTTTTTTTACCATTTATCCAAGTAGCTTTGTAAATAGTTGCAAATCCACCTTCACCTATCTTTTCAATGTTTTTTTTAAATCATCATATCGAACCCATTCAAGATGATAAAAGTTATTATATGATATTGCTTCAAGTTGTGTACTTTTTATTAACTCATCAATGACTCTATTACCACTGGTCCACCCTTCAGTTAACAGTTGTGGAACACATGACTGACACCATGAACTACAAGTATTATATCTATTGCAAATTGGACATTCACCATATTCCTCTTTTCTTTCGTTTGAATATTCATCATCATTTGCGCCAAGAGAAATATCATTATAAGTATTAGTTATATCTTCGTTTGATTTATAAATAAATGATTTCAAAAAAATTTTTATTTGTTCCATTTAATTTTTTTTTTAATCATGAAATATATTGTTTTTTGTTGATATTAAATGTTTAATTAGCCAATAAATGTAAAAATTAAAATATAAATGAGCTTTTAAAAAAAAAATTAATACATGAAAACATGAATTCTTTTTCTAAAAAACTTAAATCCTCATTGCTTGAAAAGTAAATTTTCTCAAAAATGCCAAAGTCAAAGTTAACCAGTCCTTGCTCTATTCATAATTGTGATAAAAATTCTAACAATTTTAGATGTTTATCTGATAGAGCTATAGAAAAAGCAACTACTAAAGGAAATCTTCAAAGATATCCTTATTTACAACAAGGTCAATAAGTTTGTTTTCCCCATTACATGGCTATTGTTGAAAATCCTCCATCTATTAAAGAAAGAGAAGAAGGAGAAGAAGAAATTATTCAATATTTCGAACCAGTTGAAACAAATATCATACCAGCATTTTCAACATCCTCTGACATAAATTTATCATTTGATGATAAAATAAGCAAAAGACTACAGTATTATACAATAAGAGGCATGATAGTCCTATATTTGATCCTGATGAGTTTAATAAAATGCTTAAAGATAATGATTTAAATATAAAAGGATTTTTCAATGAAGTATGTAATATATTAATACCAGAAGACTGTTCAGAATATAATAAAAAGAAAGATAGAAAGAAAGTTGTTACAATTTTGTATTTGATGGCTGGAATCCAGAATAAACATGCTAATAATTTTAAATTAGAACTTGCCTTATATCTTATAGGATCAGGAACATTTTGTGATGGAATTGATGCACTGGGTAATGCTGGAGTTTCAGTTACTTATAAACTGTATATAATTATAAAAAGAAAATTGCAGAAGAACATCCATTAAGAGTAAAAAAATACTTTAATGAAAATAAAAATAATCTTTGTATATATAACCTGGATGATTATCACAACATTCATGAAAAAAGACATCCAAATCACACTACTCTATCAGAAGCAGACCATTTAGCAACAAGTATAAGTAAAAAAATTGAAGGATCCATGCCTGTGCCAATTATGTTTAATAATGCATCTGTTCATAATCCTGATAATATTGATCCTTCGCTTATTTGTGATAAACTTATTAAAGAGCATCAGTTATACATGCAGCCCAAATTGGTTTGGTGATTTTGATGGTCAAAATTATTCCAATTTTGATGGTAGAAAGTAGAAATTAATTACGGCATTCACTATTAAAAACATAAGTGTAACATCCCTTTACTACATGTGTAACCCCCTTTATGACAGTGTCAAAATACTTTGGGCTGCATGTATAAGCATCAGTGTTACTTTGATCTTTCATATATACAATGAAAAGCTCAATGGATAAATAATACAGGACAATTTACATTTGACAGAATAGATCAGCTTACTATACATTGCTATGATAATGCTATTGCAGAAAGAAAAGAAGAACATAAAATGAAAGGAACAATTCTAATAGGAGTATCTGAACAGCAACTTCATTCTATGCAAGATTATCTCAAAGCATTAAATATGATATTAAATTATAATAAAGAAATAGGTCACCTTAATGAAAATGTAGCACCTGTTGTTGCAGACTGGCCAGGCCAACTTTTTATTTGTAAAGCAATCACACATTTGCATAACTCCAATATAAGCTCAATAATACAACTAGAGGTGGTCTCATTTGTTCCTATCATTGGTCCTTTACATGTTTCTCTTAATACAAGAGAACAAATAATAAAAGTTTATTATTCTTTTTTTGAAAAGCTATTTCACTTTTGTATAGCATAGTGGACATTCGTTTTATCACATGTGACAAAATCGATCGTTGATCTTTTTTATGTTGTGAAACATGTGACTTCAATTGAATTTAGAATAGAAAAAAGTCGCGTGAATGCGCACAAAAATTTGTTTAACCTGAGATGTATTTTTTTAACATGTATATTTTGCTTTCTATGTTCTTGGTATGTGTGTGAAAAATGATCAAATGATCAAGTTGCTTTTGAAGGGTTACATAGGAGCTATGTTTCAAGCTTTAGTGATCAACGTAAGTATATTGTAAGACATTCTAGGCTCAGAATCATGCATTTTTGTTTTATAATAAGTTTATTTAAAATTTTACATTTTGGAAATAATCATTTCTTCATTTAATGTAACAAATTATCATTAACCATTATCTTTTTCTAGTCTATTATTATTATATAGGATTTTACATGAGACAACACCCTTTTTATAAAGTTCCAAACATTTACAATAAGCATGACCACATATTAATGTATACCTTCTTGTTCATCCTCTTTGATCACATCATTATTATTAACAAGAGATGAAGAGAAAGAAAAATGTGAGAAACAATCTGTGATGGAAGATCAACTCTCACTTGTAAATATTATTATTTATTTTTTTTTTATATTGTGATCAAGTTTTTTGTTATATAAACTTGATATACTAAATTTTAGATAATATTTTATTTATTATAGTGAAAAAATTATTTAAACACACATGCATATATATCTTTAGAGGAACTATTACTAGCAAGAGGTTTAATTATATTCAATTATTGCAATGCATAGTTTCTAAAAAAAATTTTTTTAAAAAAGGTGATTGATAACAAACAAAATTGTTTTATGTGTATATGTGGATCAGATTGAATAGGAAATCTTATTGACAAACAGTTTTTGGTATTTATTTGAGAGTTAATTGTTATTTTCTTTTTTTATTTAAGAGAATTGTTTTGAAAGTAAGTTACTTATACATTTTGATTAATTAGAGAACATTATTTCTTGATTTTTTAATGATGCATTTAAAAAA